TTCACATCTCAAGTTATTGGTGAAGGTTCACATCTCAAGGTATTGGTGAAGGTTCACATCTCAAGGTATTGGTGAAGGTTCACATCTCAAGGCATTGGTGAAGGTTCACATCTCAAGGTATTGGTGAATGTTCACATCTCAAGGTATTGGTGAAGGTTCACATCTCAAGGCATTGGTGAAGGTTCACATCTCAAGGTATTGGTGAAGGTTCACATCTCAAGGCATTGGTGAAGGTTCACATCTCAAGGCATTGGTGAAGGTTCACATCTCAAGGTATTGGTGAAGGTTCACATCTCAAGGCATTGGTGAAGGTTCACATCTCAAGTTATTGGTGAAGGTTCACATCTCAAGGTATTGGTGAAGGTTCACATTTTAAAGATTTAGTGATAGATACACTATATGCTTGTTATTGGAGTAACCGCCGTCATATAATGCAACTGCTTCAGCATTTATTCTTTTTTCTTTTCTTTTTTATCAATAATTAAGCTAGGAACTCCTCAAGTGGCCTTATCTATCAAAACGGAAGCATTTGGTCATCTAAAGTTAATGAATCTTTCTGTTTTGATATGATTGTGGTCATCGCAACATGTTTCCGTCCTTTGTGTTTTTGCAGTCGTCAATTCCTCCCATATATATATATAGCAGAATGCTGAAAGAGAGTGTCAGTAGGTGTGCTGTGCAAAACTCAAGAAGATTTCTCGGAATATTCAAAAGTCTCGTGTTGTAATATGTTTACCCTTGGTCACATCCATTTTTTAATTTCTCTCGGAATAGCCAAGAACAGCGTTACAAATATTGCTAAGATTAGGGTTTCACGTCTATCAAACGATGTGATATTCTACGATGACAAAGGTTTAAGTGTCTTTGCAGGTTCGATTTCTCTTGAATTGTCAGGACGTCCTGTTTACTACAATTATTGTAATGTCAACAAAATCATCATTCTAACAAACATATATAGAGAAAGAAATTAACGACTGTCTTTACAACTTACAAAGAGAATCACAGTAAGTTATCAACAAGGATATAACGTCTTTTGTTTCATTGAATACAAATCAAAGTCAACCGAAGTAACGTTAATCTCCAAAACTGTTTTAGCAACAGTATATCAGGAATATCAGACTACTTTCACTTCACATAATATAAACAGTCAAAGAAAATTGCATACCGATAAATAGAACCATTCCATTCAAACTTAAAAGGTGACATCACAGAGCCAAATAATGAGCTTAACAGCATCCTGCATCGGTTTCATGTTTTTAGGATTCGTCAGTGATTCAAAGAACCTATTTTCAAACCCAAAGATGCAACTGAGAAATTCCCGATCTTCATAAATAAATGCCAAACTCCTCCTTTTCCTTTGAATGATTTTAAAAGAACGCCAGGTATATGTGTTGGTTTTTAATGATATGAAATACTAGGGAAAATAGAAATCCGCCTGTAACTCATAAACTAGAAATCCACAAGCAGTGTTTACCACCTGCATCTCCGAAACTAGACATCCACCAGCAGTGTTTACCGCCTGTAACTCCTAAACTAGAAATCCACCAGCAGTGTTTACCACCTGTAACTCCTAAACTAGAAATCCACAAGAAGTGTTTACCACCTGCATCTCCGAAACTAGACATCCACAAGCAGTGTTTACCGCCTGTAACTCCTAAACTAGACATCCACCAGCAGTGTTTACCGCCTGTAACTCCTAAACTAGAAATCCACAAGAAGTGTTTACCACCTGCATCTCCGAAACTAGACATCCACCAGCAGTGTTTACCGCCTGTAACTCCTAAACTAGAAATCCACCAGCAGTGTTTACCGCTTGTAACTCCTAAACTAGAAATCCACTAGCAGTGTTTACCGCCTGTAACTCCTAAACTAGAATTCCACAAGAAGTGTTTACCACCTGCATCTCCTAAACTAGACATCCACTAGCAGTGTTTACCGCCTGTAACTCCTAAACTAGAAATCCACAAGAAGTGTTTACCACCTGCATCTCCGAAACTAGACATCCACCAGCAGTGTTTACTGCCTGTAACTCCTAAACTAGAAATCCACCAGCAGTGTTTACCGCCTGTAACTCCTAAACTAGAAATCCACCAGCAGTGTTTACCGCCTGTAACTCCTAAACTAGAAATTCACAAGAAGTGTTTACAACCTGCATCTCCGAAAATAGACATCCACCAGCAGTGTTTACCGCCTACAACTCTGAAACTAGAAATCCACCAACAGTGTTAAACATCTGCATCTCCAAAACTAGAAAGCCACAAGCATCGATTACCGATTCTAACTCCCGAACTAGAAATCCATCAGCAGTGTTTACCACCTGCAACTCTGAAAGTAGAAATCCACCAGCAGTGTTTACCACTTGCAACTCCTAAACTTAGAAACCCACTACCAGTGTTTACCGCTTGTAACTCCCAAACTAGAAATCCACCAACAGTTTTAACGACCTGCAACTCTGAAAGTAGAAATCCACCAGCAATATTTACCATCTGCAACTTCTAAAGTAGAAATCCACCAGCAATGTTTACTACCTGCAACTCCGAACTTAGAAATCCACCAGCAGTGTTTACCACCGATAACTCTGCACATAGGAATCCACCAACAGTGTTAACCACCTCAACTCCGAAAGCAGAAACTCATCAGCAGTGTTTACCACCTGCAACTCCTAAACTAGAAATCCACCAGCAGTGTTTACCACCTGCAACTCCGAAACTAGAAATCCACCAGCAGTGTTAACTATGTGCAACTCCGAAACTAGAAATCCAAAAGCTGCGTTTACCACCTGTAACTCCCAAACTAGAAATCCACCAGCAGTGTTTACCACTTGCAACTCTGAAACTACCAACCCACTACCAATATCTACGCTTGTAACTTCTAAACTAGAAATGCACCAGCAGTGTACGGTGTTTACCACCTGTAACTCCGAAAGTAGAAATCCATCTGCTGTGTTTACAACCTGCAACTCCGAAAGTAGAAATCCACCAGCAGTGTTTACCACCTGCAACTCTGAAAGTAGAAATCCACCAGCAGTGTTTACCACATGCATCTCCGAAAGTAGAAATCCACCAGCAGTGTTTACCACCTGCAACTCTGACAGTAGAAATTCACCAGCAGTTTTTACAACCTGCAATTCCGAAAGTAGAAATCTACCAGCAGTGTTTACCACCTGCAATTCCGAAACTAGAAATCCTCCAGCAGTGTTTACCACCTGCAACTCCGAAAGTAGACATCCATCAGCAGTGTTTACCACCTGCAACTCCGAAACTACAAACCCACTTGTTGTGTTTATCACCTGCAATACCGAAAGTAGAAACCAACTAGCAGTGTTTACTGCTTGTAACTTCCAAACTAGAAATTCTCCAGCATTGTTTACCACATGCATCTCCGAAAATAGAATTGCACCATCTGTATCCACCACCTGCAACTCCGATATTAGACATCCCCCAGCAGTGTTTACAACATGCAACTCCGAATAGCATCGCAGTGTGAAATCCACCAGGTGTTTACCACTTGTAACTCCGAAACTAGAAATCCACTAGCAGTGTTTACCGCCTGTAACTCCTAAACTAGAAATCCACCTGCAACTCTGAACTCCACCTGCAACTCCGAAACTAGAAATCCACCAGCCAAGTAGAAATACACCAGCATTGTTTACCGCCTGTAACTTCGAAAGTAGAAACCAACCAGCAGTGTTTACCATCAACAACTCTGAATCTTGAAACCCACCGGCAATATTTACCATCTGCAACTTCGAAAGTAGAAATCCACCAGCAATGTTTACTACCTGCAACTCCGAACTTAGAAATCCACCAGCAGTGTTGACCACCTCAACTCCGAAAGCAGAAACTCATCAGCAGTGTTTACCACCTGCAACTCCGGAATCAGAAATCCTACAGCAGTGTTTACCAACTACAACTTCGAAACTAGAAATCCACCAACAGAGAAAACCACCTGCAACTCCAAAACTAGAAAGCCACTAGCATCGATTACCGATTCTAACGCCCGAAATAGAAATCCACCAGCAGTGTTTACCACTTGCAACTCCGAAACTACCAACCCACTACCAATGCCTACCGCTTGTAACTTCCAAACTAGAAATCCAACAGCGGTGTGCGGTGTTTACCACCTGTAACTCCGAAAGTAGAAATCCACCTGCTGTGTTTACAATTTGCAACTCTGAAAGTAGAAATTCACCAGCAGTGTTTACAACCTGCAATTCCGAAAGTTGAAATCCACCTGCTGTGTTTACCACCTACAACTCCAAAAGTAGAAATCCACCAGCAGTGTTTACCATCTGAAACTCCAAAAGTAGAAATCCACCAGCAGTGTTAACCACCTACAACTTAGAAACTAGAAACCCACAGCAATATTTTTTACCACCTGCGACTCCAAATCAGAAATCTACCAGCAATGTTTACTACCTGTATCTCCGAAACTAGAAATCCACCCGCAGTGTTTTCTACATGTAACTCCGAAAATCCTACAAATGACGTACGAGTGAATAACACCATTTAAATACACATTCTGATTAGGATATTAGATAAAGCAAAGCCAAATGATGAGCTCAGTATGGCCACCAGAAATTTATTTTAACGTATAACAAGTCTTTGAATTCCGAATTACCTATGACATGTTGACATCGTTGGGGAAGAATATATATTACATTCCAAAAAAGGAACATTTACTGTTGGGAAATCGAAATCATTGCCTTTATCATAAAGAGAGAATCCGTCGTCGTTGATTGCATTGTACGTAATAATCGAAGAAATGGGCTGATACAGACGATTTTGTGATTTCCAATAATTAGAGGTTCGTTAATGTTTTGTTAATTGAAGACAAAGGCATTACGTGTTCAATGTATCCTGAAGTGCAACTGCAGAACCTGACAAGGTTTTCGATTCATAATTTCCTTGCCACACATTCTGCTTAGTATGAAACTAAAACAAGGCAGTGAGAGCATAAAAAGTATTTTAAGAAAAAGGAAAAGGAAACAAAAACAAAAATCACAATCCATTATTTAATCAATAAAATCACACTAGAATAATTCATTTCAAGGAAAATGTTCTTGTGCTGTTAACCAAAGTTGTACTGATGGTGAGTTAAGATGTTCTTCCCTCCTCCTTTAAATGTACAATCATTCTCCATGAGCAGCCATTTCGCCAAAACTTTCAAATAAAAATCAGGATTGTTAAGGAAGTCCTCCTTGTTCCAAACCTGCAAGAATATGTGAATAAACATACAATCTATATCAAAACACTGTCTATAATCTGACATGAATTGTCTGTCATCTTTTAACCGATAAAGTTTTTAACAACTAGGATATATAGTGTATGTAATGTTTACGTGATTTGATTGTAATAATTTTTAATGTATCTGATTATAGGCTGGTGCACTTCCTTGACTAGATTAGTCTTTTCTTTCTATAATTTAAATTTTCTCAGTAGTCTCATATGCTTCAAATTTCAAGTCGGAGAAGGATGAAACAGTTGTGTGATGCAGTTTACTTACGTTTTGGATCTACTGTATCTAACCCTAAATTTGTATAAAATATGCTATTCACTTGCTTGTCTGTTGTACGATCTTATATAAATTACATAAGTTAAATGATATGAAATAACTTTTACATAAAACAAGACTTACTGAAACGTATTTTTACAACTGTATACTGCGAAATAAGAGTTATCTCTCTTCTCAAATATATCAGTAACTTGTGCATACTTATGAGATGGTGAAAGAGTTCGGGTTTGTTTACATTATGTCGGTATTGACGTTAGTGGATAACTGTGATTAAAAAAAACATCAAAATATATTGTTAATTTTGTTCAATAATAATTGATCGTGAATTCATTTAAGGAAATGTTTTAGTTAATTTTTCTTATGCTTGGATCACTACTGATGAAGTAGCATTAGTTTATATACTGTAGGAATGTCTACATGAAAACACACAAATATAAATGTTTATATGGTTCAAAAACAGACTTTATAGCATACTTTCCTGTCGATCATTTAATAATAATGGCTTTATTTGCTGTGTATTCAACTACGATTTCATGTTAATGATCTGTTTTGTTTGTTATGTATCCATTGTGTTCAGTTTTCAAAAATGTAATTAATACTTACTTTAAAGAAAAAATCGCATATTTAATTATATCATTGAGGATTTTATTTCACATTAAAAATCATCACAAAATGATATTTGGGAGCTTACCTTCATCTTTGGAATTGACGACTTCGTGAAGTATATTCACGAAATCGTAATATGTATATCCATGTCCTGCCATATTCATATCCTCTTTGTTTTACCAATTCCATTTGTCCATTGAAGGTAAACATGATACCATCCTTGGGCAAAGTATACTGTGATATGTTTTTGACATCAACCCATGTCATATCTTCATATTGGTTACACACACATCTTCTTACCAAACATGTAACTTCATAATTTATATTCTGTATCGGCAATATTACACTTCTCGTCAATACCCCACAGGATGGGCTATAATGTATTTCCCCAGAAAGGTCTCTACTTCGCATCTGTAGTTGGGATGATGCCATTTTCGTGTTATTTAGTAAGGTATATGGTTTTAACTGAATATTGTAATTCTTATATATCATCAAAGGACACAACGTCATTAGCAGAAACTTGCATTGGATGATATTTATATCGACCAATCGAAACCCATATAGTTCTCATTATATGCTGCTTTATCTACACCCAATGACCGACGCTGGATAAAACCTTTCAGGTGTATGATATGGGGTTTGAGATATTCTGTGCAGCCACTAACTCCCCCCTTTGTGGACATTAAAATGTTATTCCAATGTAATGCCATTACGGAAGAATTGTTTTACTTTGTTAACTTTATGAAAATACACGCAGATCTTGACTTATATTTGATATTTTTTTATTATAAAAACATTGTAAATAGTTCTTATTAGTTTTTGTAATAATATTTATCTAATTGCATTTTATTTGTATGCAATACCATATAAATAACAATTGACTGTGAAAACCACACTATAATAATTGAGAATATGCTTATGGATGTTTGTTATTGCACTACTACTGAATGACAAAAGCCCTGGTACATTGGCCTCATCCAGTCGTCATTTCTCCCTTAAATCTGTTGAATGTAATTATATAATATGTTGTCGATCGTGTGTAATTTGCCATTTTTTTATCCTCAATATCACTGATGAGTTCTAGAAAGACGCGATAGCTGCATCACTTAGTATACATAATTATTTTTTCTCTGCTGTATCTAATTTTTAATTTCTTGTATTACAAGTGTTACAGATGCAAATAAAATTTAAAATCGCATTATTATGTGTTTTTAATAACATGGAATGCATGCTACGGAAAACCAGGGAAACAAGAAACCCACCATAGTGTTTACCACCTGAAACCCTTAAACTAGAAACTCACCAGCAGTGTTTACCAATTCGCCACGTCGCCATGTCGCTTTTCATTTATCGTTGAACTGTTCGTGGTTCAGAAGTATACCCTTGGAATTTGAAAACGTAGTAGTCAGGCCCAGGAGGATTTACCGCCTTTTGTTTTGTCCCTATCATCTTTCCATTCTTGTTTGTTGTTAGGATAACGCCATCTTCCTTAAATTTGTCTATTTCTATTTCAAGAACATCCAATTTAGTAACATCTGTATATTTCTCACATAAGCACTTCCTCAATATAAAAAAAACGTCATATTGTCTGCCTTTATAATGAATCTTTCGTGACCTAACTTCGGAACCGCATTTCGGACTACCATGTTTTTCATCCTCGAAGTTTGTACTGCGCTCTGCTAAATAATGATCTATATTCGTGGTGGTCATCGTGATAGTCAGAGTGACTTATTTACGGTAGGACATAGGTATTGCTTACCATTATATATGTAAATCATTCTGTGGGTAGACTCTGCTAAAGAGTGGAATGTCCAATGAGATAAGTAAGCCTGGGTTCTTTGGCAGAGTGTACCTAGGTCTTATTGTCTGGTACCTAAATTTATCAATATAATTTAATTATATCGTCCAATGAAATTGTGATAGAGAATAGCATGCTACACATAATTGTAACTCACTACAACTCAACTGTAAATAGACAGAGAGTTGGAATTCATGTATAATGATTTGTGTGGTGCATGTATTTCTAGGTAAATTAATGACTTCTGGGTTTTTTTTTTTTTTTTTTTTTGTTTGTTTTGTTTTGTTTTGTTTTGATTTTTTTTTTAAATTTCTATTGTTTGCACAGTACCACATTATGGTATTGTATTAAGGTATTGGAACGCTTGTGTTTCGACTCATAGTGGCGTGACTTACGTTTATAACGAGTTAACACAGTTTGGTAAAATTGTGTATCGTGGTATATTTCGCCTCCTTTCTAAATGTACATAATCATATGCTTAGTCCCAGGAATGTTAGAAACGTAAAAGTGCTTGGTATTCTGTTGATAGTAAATTCAAAACAGTATCAACTGTAATAATATCTTTATTGAAGGATTTTAATCAATTAATTTATTTCAAAGTTATCTCTTCAAAATGCGAATAGTATCAATTCATGTAACTTGTCTCTAGTTTTAATTATAAAATGGTCACCATAGATTAAAATTTTTAGTAGTTTCACACACTACAATTCTCTTCCACCGGTATCCAGTAATAAGCTAGTTATTAGCTAAAGGAAGTAAAATAGAGTATCAAGAAAGTTCATAATAAACTAGAATTTAAAAATTTTAAATTCAAAAATGATTATATATGTATATATATATGATTAAACACTTGGAAAATGTTGAATTAATGATTAATAATGGCACAAATCAAACCAGTTACGTTGTGCATACTGGAAAGAGTCTTATTTCTACAACGTCGTAGTGATTGGGATGTGTTCACTAACAACTGCTTGACATCCGTACACCAATCAGTCCTTATATATTGTATTGTGTCTCTGGTAGACATTGTTGTCAATCCCAACAGGTTTGAACAGTTGAATCCCTGCCTCACCATGGTCCGTATTCGTTGTACAAATGACCATTTCCCATCCATCTTATAGCATCCTGTGAAAGAAATAATGAATGATTTCTTTATTGATGAACTAATTTCGAAATCTTTCGATTATTGTTAAAAGTTTAAATACCAAATGTAATGAAATGAAAAACAACACTGACATTTGTTCTGTCAGTACGTTCAGGAAAACAAATGACATTAATAACAAAGAATCTCTAATTGTAATTAATGTCGATAAGAAAGTAGGGGTACCAGTATTTTTTTTATTTTTTTTTTTTTTGGGGGGGGGGGGGGGGGGGATCAATACAGAAATACTGAAAATGTGTCTCTTATGATATCATGTATAGAAATATGAAATATTATATAGAAAACTCTTTTCAATTCAAGTTTTCATATACAGCTAAATTTCGAAGTGTTCAAGTACAATTGCACGCGACTGTTTAATTATCAAATATTTTCGATTTTTTTATGACTATACGCTAACTATAAGTAAATAAAATCAGTTTATTTCAAAAACAGTTCTTAATTATCTTCAAAAACTAACAGCAAATATGCTGGAGATATACGTAATTTTATCTGCGAGTTTAAATCAATTGAATTTAAAATAAATATCACAACACTTAGAATGTAAAATGTCGTCAGAAAATCTAACATGTGTAAGCAATTGTTTTACCGTCAATTTGAGGTTCAGTTTTCTGAACTGATAGTTCTCCCTCGTGTGCAGTAACAGTTTCTTTCTAACGTAAACTTCTCTTCTCCGTTATTCCTTATTGTTTTTATACATCCTATTGTGCATCCTTTACGTTGATGTATTTGAATACTGTTGTATTCCAAATCATCAACACATAAAGATATGGCATCCTTGTAAAAGTAATATTTATTTTTCCAGTAATGTCTGCAAGACATGTGACAGTCCCTAAACAACGCTCGAACCCGATACGATACTCCATCTTCTAAATAAACATCCTTGGCTCTAAACCGGCATTTGGCATCATGAGTCTCACTATATAAATGCCTGTTAAGTTCAGATAATTTGATGACGTTGCTCATTGCCCAATATAGATATCAACCTTGTAAAGAAAAAACTGTAACCTGTTGAAATGTTGCTATATGACAGCTGCACACACGACAGACAAATCAAATTTGAAATGACAGGATTTGTGTACCTTGGTTTATATATAACCGATCATGGACACGTATACGAATACGAATGCGCATGAATGTTCAACTATCAATGAGGAATATTTTAAGACCATACGAAATCTTCAAGCAAGCACACATGACTGCCAGAACATGTATGAATACAATGAACATGACTGTAAGGATTGAAATCAATAGAATTAATATATATCAACGCTTATAATTTTAAATGATATCAGAAAATTTAACATGTATAAGTTTGTATTTACTTACAATCTACAATTCAGTAATCTGTCCGGATAGTATACCCCCGTGAGCAATAACAAAATCTTCTAGTACAAATTCATTCTCTTTATTATGGTTGTCTAGTTTCTCCTGACATGCTATTTTACACCCTTTGTTTTGATGGATTTGAATATCCGTTGTGGTAATTTTCTTCAAATGTAACATACTTTTGTTCCTGTACTGATCATATGTGTTGTACTTGTGGTAGTATCTGCAGCGTGCTTTACAGTTTCTAAACAAGGCTGTAACTCTAAACTTCTTTCCATTTTCAGCAACTACGCAAAATTTCCTCGTTTGAAACTACATTTTCTATTATGAACCTCCTCTGGTAAAATTATGTTGATAAGCTGATGTACATTTTCACACCAACCAATCTGATTTGTTCTGTTTTGACAGGTAAACACACTTCAACGCGAATTTATTTTTTTTCAAGGTAGTGTACGCATGTGTATAGGGAAAATAAGGACTATACAGACGTTTATTTATACTTAAATAAAAATATTGCCAAAATTAAAATAATAATCATCATCATTACTCTTTCTACACTTGCCTTTTATCAGTCCTCGGGTCCATGAGTACTTGCCGCACCGCAATAACAAACTGTTCTTAGTTCATACGTTTTTACTCCATGTTTATTAGTTGACTTTGTAGATACTATTTTACAGTTTTTGTTATTTTCATGAATTTCTACACCGTCCTTAGGTAACTCAGAAAACTCAAAGGTAGTTTGGCTGTCCAGATGCTGAAAAGTATCCCTTTCCTCTCCTTGGTAAACTGTGCATTCTTTCTTACATTTTCTAAAAAATGCATTGACTTTTATTTTAATTCCAAAGAATCTGTGATGTACTTTGATAACTTTGCACTTGTATTTGCACTTTGCGTCGTGCTCCTCGGATACTTGTGAATAATTGAGATCACGTAACACAACAGAATTACTCATGTTTGTTGTCTATGGCCAGGACAAAAGTATTGTGAATGAGGATATGTGTATTTTCTTAGGATCTTTAAAATGCAAAATGGTATGGTAATAATGTAGGTTTCTATTGGCTAGTATATTTAGATCAATGATATTAAATCAATAGAATTGTAATTCTTTCCCTTCATGTTTGCAACCGAGGCTGTGTGTATTAGTTATGTGTGGGTAC